CCAGGAAGCACGTTCCCGGAAGACACTGAATGTGCCAGCGTCTTGATCTTGGCTTGTAGCTTCCATGAGTGTAAGAAGTAAAGTCCTGTAGTCTATGAGCACCCAGCCTTTGGTGTTTTGTTATAGCATCCCAAAGGGCCTACGACACCTTGGTGTGGATGATAAAACTTCCATGATCGTGTTCAGCCAGTGGAAGGAGCCATAGGAAGTAGCAAACTGGAAGAGATCCCCACCCCTTTGGAGGGACTGACGGGGATGACTCCCTTGGGTTTGATAGCACCGTTAGATACTTCTCCTTCGGGCTGGTCGGTACAGCTTCCCCTCCCAGCTCCACGGCCTTGCCAGTAGGAAGTTTGGGGGGCACCAGGAAGTGTGACCATTGCCAAAGTATCGCCCGTGTGAGCAAGCCCAGGGGTCGATCACTCCTTTGCCAAATTTTCTCCTTTCCTGAAGCAGCTACTGGGTTTGAAGCGGTGCCACCGTCAGCCTGCTCACCAGCACTTACTCTGAGCCCAGGCGAGTGATGGGTTGGGTGGGGGTGACGGTGGAGGTGTGACCTTGGCTAGCAGTGCATACCAGTATGTCTTGCGTTGTGACAAAAGGAAAGGCACTGTGTGCCCCTCTCAAGCATCCTGGCCCTTTCACACTGCTACAGCCTCTCATTTGACCTGCACCTTCCAGGATGGGATTGGGCACAGTTCTAAATCCATGAACCATTTGAGCCTACAGACCATAGCCTACGAGCCAGGGACCTACCTGCAGCCATGAGCTGGCCCACGGCTGTAAAATCATACGGCAACCCTGATGGGACGTGGTTAGGAGAGAGCTATGCTTCTGGACTATCTGGAACGATGTGGCTTTTCATAAGTGGATGGTACACCGATGTGCCCTTTACTTGGTCTGCCCACAAAAGTGAATTTGACTAGCGCCCTAAAGAATATCTATAAACAGGGTAGGTACGTGAAAACTTCACAGTAAGTAAATGGAAAAATTCAGTAACTAAATGCGTCACCTATGCTCAGTTAGGATGTACGTGCCATGACCTGCCATATGTCACGCCTACGCGTGTCTGCATGCATATGTATGCTGAAGTGTCAGGTTTGGACCAAGTAACTATACCCTATTTCCAGATTAACACGGATATGCTATTACTGTGAGGAGTGTAGGACTGCATGTTCAGAAATACTGTCTATGGTGTCGGAAAGACTGAATCCTATCTTTGCCCCTCTTTAAGTCAGTCAGGTACAGGAGACATTATCCTCAGAGGAATACATAAATATATGTATCAGCCCTGAGCAAGAGATATTTCACCTGTCTCAGCAGAGGCGAGGTTAAGTGCAAAGCTGAGTGATTACATGGTGAGTTCAGCCCAATCTGCAAATAACTGTCAATCTGTAAATAATAGTAATTAATAATAATTACTTGTAGTTATCAGTAATTACTACTAATCATTAGCAATTATTATTGTTGTTTAAAAATTTGTCCAGTTTTTGTGATCTGCACAGATTGCTTTTCTTCCTGCTTTATGTGGGTAATTACTTCAAATTTCGAATTTATTTTGCTACAGTGTAGCAATAACTTAGGCAAAAACAACCCTGAAAACCCTGAGCTTCCTTAATTATTGGTTCCTCAACTGTAAAATTAATGGACTAGATCCAAAAACTTTCTACGATTAATATGTAGAAATATAAAAAGGGAAAATAATTATACATGTACCTGTTTTAATCATCAGAAGAACCTTAAGAGCAGAATAACTGAAATGTGCCAGTTTTAAGTGCCCTTGTCTGTTGAAACTCATCATTCAATGCCCAGAGCCGTACGGCTGTGTTTTTACAAGCTTCTGGTATGCACACAATTCAGCCAATATTGTGACACCAGAATGTAACAGAGTTTTTTTTTTTTTTTTTTTTTTT